GAAAACTAAAAATTAGTCCGCTTTTTGGTGAGATTTAACTACTGGAGCAAAAGATTAAAGTTCAAGTTGTTTCGTATACAAGTCAAAGTTCAAAGTAGAGTTCTGCAATGCAAATTTGTTTAGATCTTTCTGGCAATGCAAATTGCTGTTGCTGCTGTCCGGTGGTTGGCTTGGCTCTGTGGCAAACAGTGAATCTTATTTGAAGCAATAGCGTGTAGAGTCTTTTTAGGCCATATAATGGTGACGTGCCCCTGTTCTTGTGTTTCTTATTGGCACTAAGTCAAAAGTTTGCATGTTAATGACCTTCTGAAGCATCAAAAGGTGAGAGATTATTTTTTAAGGGAAACTATGGGACCCCAACGGTTTGGACTTGAGTAGGTTGAAAAAAGACATCCAACTTTGACAAGAACGACGTTCAGCAGAATATATGACCCATGCTCTTTTTAGGCTCTTTAAATTCCATGGGTAGCGTAGCTACCGAGATCAATGCTGCGATATCTAGCTCGTTCTCTTCCTGATTTAGAGTGATTGCTCGATCTTAAGTGTACTTTCATTATTTCTTCTGTTCTGGGGTATACCCTATGAAGTGCTGCTGCTGCTGGAACATGCTCCTTTGAAGCAACAGCTTGGTTAGATCACGCATAGATTCTGACAATGGCCTGAAAAGGGTTTTTCATCAGCTATGAAATGCTGTGGTTGTGTAGGCTACCCCTTGTGCGACGTCTTAACCTTGAAGAAAGGAGATAGATTGTTTGCAAGGCATGCAATTCAAGCTGCTTGGTGCAGTGCATTTCATTTCATCATGTTAAAAGACCCCCAAAATCCAAGGATCGAATAGTGAACCCAGTTCATCTATGCAGATGAGCGCCAAGATCAATGGGGCAGCAGCAGCTGCTGCATTTCTGCTCTTCTACACTCACCTCTACTTCCCAACCACTGCTCATCTCTACTCCTCAACCACTCCATTGCCTGGAGCCCTCGTTAATCTTACAACGCCTTCCCTTCCATTATACCCGCTTTCAGTTGATTCCACCTCTACCCATCATCAGTATGGCTATAAATACAACCCGCTATGCGACGATTTCCCACCCGATTTTCCCCTGCCCGACACACCAGCAGTGTCGATCTTCTGTGTCGACCCCAATGGCTGTTGTGAATTCACAACTGTGCAGGCGGCGGTCGATGCAGTTCCAAGCCACAGCAGCAAGAGGAATGTTGTGTGGATAAACAGGGGCATCTACTTGTAAGCAGTTCTCCTTGTTCACGCTTTTAGATAGAGATTTCCTTCCCAGAATTCAGCATTGCGCTGTTACTGAGTGTACTGCTACTGAAGCTGCAGTGTTGTTGCAGTGAGAAAGTGACAGTCCCAGCTTCCAAGCCCAACATCACATTCCAAGGGCAGGGGTTTGACCAGACAGCGAAGTCACTGAATCAAAGGCGCGAAATTGAGCTCACCTATCACCTTCTAGCGCGCACGAGAGGTCCAAAAGCATTTCAATATACGTATAAATATAGATTAGATTATATAAGCAAAATAAATTGTTTAAAAGATGTAAAATACTCGTATGCATTTGCATGTGATGTTTTTATCATGTGGAGCATGTATTTTTAATAAGAGTGAGAATATCTATTATAAAAGTTCACACGACCACGGTACAAAAGAGTTCCTTTAAGAAAAAATAAAACATCGAGCTACTTAATGTAAAAACAAGAAAAGGAAACGGAAAAAAAAGAACCAAAGAGAACAACAAAATCCATCGATGAAGAAGCTCTTGACACCACACGGGAAACTCAAGCATCTTGAAAACAGTTGAAACCCAAGTAGACACCTTCTCCATGATGAGCTAAGAGAGGGCAACCGGCTCCAAGGTGAAGCACCCAGTTGTTCTACTCCTAGTAGAAGTTCTAAGTGGCCAAGACAACTAATGTGTCCAGCATTTTTCTAAGAAAATTTCTAAAGTATTTGGGACCAACAACCCGCCAACCGCAACGGTGCCATCAGTATTCATTAGCACGATAAGTGATAAGCTGAAGTGACCTAGGGAGCAGAACCAAGTCTCCTGACCATAGACGCAACCATCAAGCAAGTGGTTGACAGTCAATGTCATTGTTCATATAGGGTGAAGGTATTATCATCTTACATGTCATGCATCTACAATCTCTTTAACATCCAAAGGCGACCTAAGAGAGCCAGCCAAATGAAGAAATAACGCTTTTTGGGTGCCCATGTCTTCTGAAGAAATTTGATCCCTTGAACCTCCAAGCTCCATAGGCCAAAGAAGAGGGAAATTCTTCATAGAAGGCCACTTCCAACGGAAAGTATCCCCTTCCTCGCGATAGTTGGATGTGTTTGAGTCTCCCCTGAATCTGCATGTATTTTAACAATCCTTGAAGTGACAGAGCATGACTATTTTCTTTGATCCAATGCTAATCAGTCAAGGTTTGTAGATATTTTGGTTGTCCCTAAATTTCAGTAGAATCAAGTTGTGCAAGGCTAGGGTTGTTTCCAGCAGTGATGCTCCATCAAACTAACAATCTGACCAAAATAAAGCACACTCTCCATCCCTAACATCATGGAGATCGAGGCTCAAACATGGCCTTTGTTGACATCTATCTTGACAAGTAGCACCACCCAAGTACACAACTTATCGGTGCAGGCTAGTCACAGCCATCCCATATGTAAAAGCCTAGTTGAGCACCCTGAGATTGGAAATACCCCGATCCAAAGCTCTTTTAGCTAGCACGCCCTTGTTCAAGCGACCTCACATTTGCCCTAGAAACAATGTCGTAGTCCAAAGGAACACTTGTAAAAGAAAATGGAGTCGACCACCCGAGGAGAAGGGCCAATGGCAATACCGAGGTAACACGAGGATTGAAAAGAGGTTGGTTGCATGAGGATAAGCCTACCCTCTAATTGAGCAGGCGGCCTTTCCATCCTAGAATTCAACTGGTGACTTTATCAACCAGATGCTGGAAGTCATCATTAGAGAGCTTGTGAATTGAAATGGGGTCCCCTCCTAGGTATTTGCAGCGGAAATATGCAACCACATGAGGAAAAATCTCCTTAGCCAATTGAATGTTCCAGTACGAGCAGTGGATTGAAAAGAGCAGCATTATATTGGTTGCCGACCTCCAGGTTCCCTCAAAAAGGAGAAAATTTTCCTTAACGAGGGAAGTCATGACTAACAACCTAAGCATCTTCAAGAATATCAATGTCATCGATGTAGAGAGACACCCAATGGTGGACCCTATGAAGCTATGACAATCTGGTGGTACAAGAAGCTCACTCATATCGGCTATGGAGAGCTAAGCTAAGGCATTCCATCACTAAGAGTAAGGGCATAGGGGACAGCAAGTCCTACCGAAGGCCGCGACCATGGCAGATGCGACGACCGAGGGCACCATTGATGAGGACATTTGATGCTGGTTGTGGACAAAAAATGATAAAAAAAATCTAGTCTTTTCAAGCCCCTAGGAACCATGTATTGAAGGATGTCCAACAGAATTTTTTTTTTAAAAAAAACAAGAAACGAAGTCGAACGCCATGGCCGATCTATCTTTAGGAGCAGTCGAGTCGACCATTTGGCATAGAGCGCTTAATGGCGCCTTGCAATATCTAAAGTTTACTTTGGTAGGGACCAACCAAGATTGGGAGCGAATGTGTCAATCTATTAATGAGAATTTTGGAGAAGAATTTTCCAAAGCTATGTTCTATAAACGAGGTTGATAGGTCTATAATCTCCAAGCTCCTTTGGCTCGTCCCTTTTAGGAAGATTTTTTTTTTTGGGGGGGGGGGTGCTTTTAGAATTCAAGTTAAGGCCTCAATGATTCAAGTGATGAATGCATATTCAGTCATATGTTTTCCTAACATATCATTGTAACCTTTCGAAACTATACGAAACAAAGGGTACTAATGTTTGCAATATAATAGCAGTTGGAATGGCTTTACACCTCCATTAAAAGATGATAAACACATTATCTCATTTTTTTCTGTTTATTGTGTTTTATAAGTCTATAATACAACGTGCCCTTGACCATTACCTTTTACGTATTCATTGTTCACAGTTATTTAAAATACTCATTTGAAAGTCATTGTCATGACAAATTTACCAAATGTTGTTTTCATGTGACAATCTTAATAATTTGTATATATGTTGGTCGACGTTTACAAGGCTTCACTAAATGTAGTAAACACCATTCTCTTAGTAACGGAGGGCTATTCAGTAAAATATCAGGTGTTTATCATGGATCGGGAGGGTGCTATTGCTACCCACTAGTACAAAAAGCTGGAACACAGCTTCGTGTATAATACGTGCAAGTTCTCAGGCTTCGCGTTGTACTACTATGTACTCTCTGGCTATGAAGCATCTACCATTTTTTGTCTAACGTTTCGACACATTGTCCAGCCAGCAACGATATATAAGAACAAGGTGCATCATTACTGCAAGCCAAGCCAAAAAAAAATAAACACTGATTCAAGTAGCCAACCACGAGCCTCAAGGTTCAGCAAACACCACACAAACAGCGGATTAGCGCTTCGCAATTCCGCTGAAACATAACTCAACTGTGACAGTGAGGCTACTACATATGCGTGCTCAAAATGTCCAGAAGAACAGTTCATCTGCACAATAATTAGAGCCACAAAGGCCCTGAGGGAGCTTTTTAAGTTAGAAGTAGCTAGTTTGCAACGAATGGGTTTATTAGGCAACTGCACAGAAGCAACATATGGAAAACATGATCCAGATCAGCTACTCGACAGTCTCTGTGAAACCTTGTTGATGGAACCGGACATCATTCAGTCGAGTGTATTAACAGTCTAATAAGGCTAAGAAGCTACTGTCTTTTTACAAAATGTGTCCTCTGGGATTACACATTCAGATCAGAGCGCTAACAAGTGTGCACGATTATTGCTTTGGGTTTTGGCCACTAGCCTTTCCCTCCGATTTGCCTTTTCACAGGTACAAAATGCTATTGCATTTTTTTTTCTCCCTACACTGAATTCATTGGGGAGGGAACCAACTGCCATTGTAGAAATTATCCGGAGTAGGTGGTGGAAGGTTGACATCGACTTGTGTGTGGTTTCTGGAATTATTATCAAATACAGAACCTGCACAATTTGGTGCTTGGCCTTTGTTCAAGTCTTGTTGCTCTGGGAAGTAGTCTGCGACAGCCGTTGTGTCATCCAGAACAGGAATGTCACCTGTAAGGGTCTTAAAAGCAAACTCGATGCAAGGATCTGACCAGATGTTTCCGAAAAGGGATTGAAAGGCCAATCCGGACTGATCAGAACCTGTTTCAGTTGGAGCAACCTGTGGCGGCAAAGCAGGTTCTGCTGCTGCTGCATTGTGGAATCTAACGTTTGCTGGAAAGCTTGCAACAGGTACTCCATTTAATGGCATGGAAACCAATGAGGCCTGACTTTCAACATTTTTCCAGAAATCTGTAATAGGGGCTCCGCCATTCTGTTCAGGAGGCCAAGAGAAACCAGATTGCAGCATAGAATTTTCATCATAGTTTGGTTGCAAGTGATTGGTAGTGCTTTCCAGATCAATTTGTATTCGATCCCCAGTTTCTGATTGGCTCAGCTGAGGTTGCTTGGACAAATTTTCCTCAATTATCTGCATTTGAGTGGCACAGTCTACTTGACTTAAATATAAGTGATCATCAGTGTTTTCCTGATTGGCCTGTATTTGATTTGTAATGTCAGCTTTACTAATATGTGAATAATCAGTTGTGTATTCCTCAATACTTTGTACTGGAATGACTGTGTCTGTTAGGCTCGATTGTACTTGATCAGCAATGTATTCCTGATTGGCCTGTGTTTGATTTGTAGTGTCAGCTTTGCTCAGCTGTGAATAACCAGTAGCATATTCCTGAATAGCCGGTACCGGAATGACTGTGTCTGCTAGGCTCAACTGTACTTGATCGGCAGTGTTTTCCTCATTGGCCTTAATTTGGCCTGTAGTGTCAGTATTGCTTGGCTGTGAGTGACACGCTGTGCATTCTTCAATATCCCCTAAAGAGATAACAGTGTCAGCTGGTAGGCTCGACTGGAATTGATTCCCAGTGAATTCCTGATCTGTGTGTACATGATCTATGTCTGGCTGGCTTGGCTGATCTATAGTGCATTCCTGTGTGATTTGTTTTGGAATCAAAGAACCTGTGAGCACCGATTGTAACTGATTGGCACTGTTTACCTGCTTTTTCTGTGTAGGATTCAGAGTATCCAATTGGCTTGATTGTGAATGAATGGTAGTGTTTTCCTGTATAGCCTGCATTCCATTAGCAGTGTCTGCTTGGCTCAATTGTAACTGACTGAAAGTGCTTTCCAGATTACCATGTATCTGATCAACGGAGCCTGATTGGCTTTTCTGTGTCTGATCGATGGCGCTCTCTTCTATAGTCTGTACCCGGTCCACATGATTTATGCTAACTATTTCATCTTCATGTTCGATGCTTACTTCAAGCTGCACATTCAATGCAGCTAAGCGGGGTGACGCTCGAACAGGAGTCACAGCAGAACTGGTTTTGCGCTTCTTGGATTTCACCTCTGCATTTGGTTCTTTCCTTTTAACAGATTTGGTTTGCCTTGAACCATTATGCGCAGAAACCGTTTGAACACTCATGTGTTCCGAAGTGTCAAGCTTGTTGCCATACCCTTGACTTGCTTTCAAGCTCTCAGGCTCTGGTAACACGGTATGTTCAGTATCATTTCCATTATATGGAGTAATTAGTTCCTCCCATGGCACCATGATACCATCCGAAGTTAATATTTCACACTGAATACCCTTATCCGCAGTACCAGGCCTCGTGTGTTGCGATGATGCACTTGTCTGATTCCACAAAATTATGTAATTGTAATCAGCGAACTTGAGGGGAAAAAACAAGCAGGCAGACATAAACAAAAAGAACTCTATCCAATCACCTATAGTTTCGTACATGGTATGTAAATTGAAATCATATTCAGAAATCACAAGGCATCTGAATCATGTGATCTGGTTACACCACAGGTGCATCCAAAGTAAAAACTCCAATTCTTCACAGGTGGCACAAAGAAAAACATGCACTTGCAATATCCTATTTTCCAAGGGGATAGTGTGGTCACCAGGATATGAGCAGTCACCAAAAGGCTGGTTTGCATGGCGTAGAAGACATCATAACTACAATATGACTCAACTCCCGAATACCCATCATGAACAGATACATGCAACTTGAGGTGTGCATCAGAGTTATGCTTCCTAGAATTTGTTTCTCTAATGTTTCTGATGGATGAATATATAGTAGTCAGACAAGGAAAGCTGCAAGGAACTCACAGGAGTTTGACTTTCTGTTATATGAACTTCGAAGGTGGTGCTCTTCTTTGGTCTCATGGCGCATTGTCTAATATCTCCAGTTTCAAGATAGCGGTGCACATCCTTCAAAGAGCGAAATTCATATCCACTGACTGGATCAATGTAGTACTGCACAGATAAAAAAAATTAGAGGCCAAAAGAGCCAGTTCACTGAAAAATAAACAAAGCAATGTGAAGCAAAATAAGATTTATGGAAGACATTCTATAACATAGCAAACACAACGGTATGTAGTACCTGCAGTAGTAGCTATCTTTAGGTTTCTTTTAAAATAGACACCATCACTCATAAACTAAAACCTCTATCTATCTAAGTAAACCATTGTTATTGTTATGGAACATGGAAGAAAGAAATATTGAAGTTTATCTATGTTTTCCTCTCTTTCAAAAGGGAGACGATTTGTTATTTTAATATACAATAAGTACAAGGTATTTTTATTTCTTAATACTCAATTTCTATTCCAAATGAACATTGGTAATGACTTATATATGTTTAGATAAAGGGAAAAAAACACGAGGAAAACGGTCGTGACACCATACCGGATCCTGAAATGAACTGCTCTTCCTTGGCCTGTATTCTTTTCGCCATCCATCAGGCAAACCCTCAACGACTCTTTCGTCCTCGCTTACAGTCTACAAACAACAGATAAGTGTCAGTGTTGGACCTCTAAAATGCCTAAATAAGTTTTTTTTTTTTTTTTTTTTGGGGGGGGGCGGGGTTAGGTTTAGGTTTAGAAACTTGCTTGCCTTGGAAGCCAATCTTCCACCGCCAAGGCCACTCCGTGTTCCAGCAACCTTGTCATTTTTCATCCATCCATCAGGCTGCCCCTTTGTGACTAGTTCAGCCTTGATTGGAACCTAGAAGAAACAAAAAGAGGTAATTTCTCAAAGTCCTTGTCACATTGCATTATTAGATCACATGAAAAGGGGTGATTAGCTACAAATATCCATGCCTTGGCAGCAAGGCTTCCTCTGACAAGGCCACTTCGAGTTCCAAGAGGCGTGTCTTCCTTCAGCGACCCCTCAGCCAGCCCCTTAATGACTGATTGATCCTTGTTTAGAGTCTTGTAATGAAACAAAAGATGGCAATTTTTCACAATACTAGTCAAGCTGCACTCCTAAGTAAGATAAATAAAAGGGCAAACAAGAAAAATATGCATGCGATGCAGAATCGACAGACTTGTTACCCTGCACTGACATTAAATAGAGGGTGACGGAGGGTTTAGAATTTTTTGTACCTTAACAGTAGGGCTTCTTCTGACAAGTCCACTTCGCGTTCTAGAAGGCATATCTTCACTCAAACATCCATTGGCAAGCGCCCTCGTGCCTGATTCGTCCTTGGTTACAGCCTAGTATAGAATATGACAGGAAACTCTGACAAACATATAACAATGCACGAAAAACAAACAAAAATTGAGAAGTTGAAAAGTAGCATGCCTTGTCAGCAGAGCTCTGTCTAACAAGCCCATTTTGAGTTCTAGCAGGCATCCCTTCTTTCATCAATCCATCAGGAGACTCCTTCAAGACTGCTTCATCATTTATTATAGCCTAGCATGTAGGATACAAAAGTGTCAAATTCTAACATACTTGTCATGGTGCAGTCAATAATTTTGTGGTGGCTTCATACTGAGTCAGAAACTTTTGTACCTCAACAATAGGAGGTCTACCTCTTACATGGTCACTTTGTGACCTCGAACATGAACCATCACGGGAATCCACAAATCTCTTTATCCTTAGAAACCCACTTTGAGTTCTAGAACTCGAAACATCACTGGAATCCACAAAGCTCTTTACTCTTAGAAGCCCACTTCGAGTTCTTGAACATGAAGCTCTACTGAGAGCAAAAATGCCTTTTTTCCTTACAAGCCCACTTCGTGTTCTAGAGCATGAACTTTTGTCAGAACCCATAATGCAGTCTACCCTGACAACCCCACCCTGAGTTTTAGGACATTGTCTCTCATCGCAGGGCATAACACCACTCTTCCAAGCTACTTCAATTCAGAAAGACCTGCTCAATTCCACAAAAACAACAAATGTCCTAAAAGCTGCATATGGAGACTATAAATTCATGATGACAAAATGCAGGCCAGAAAAAGGCTTGTACTGAAGCATGAAATATATTATTCATGAGAATAGTTGCAATTAGTAACGGCAAATGGGTGATAATGTTCTCAGATCCTCGACAAGAGGAAATTAGAGTAAACCAGAGGGTAGGTAATTCAATTGTTAACGGAGTGGTTGATGAAACTATGTGCTTTTACTGTTTCATAAGAAACTTTTTTGCACAGTTAATTTTTCCCATGTAACTCAATTTGCATACCGTGCGCCTGTTTTATAAGAAAATTTTTGTAGGATTTAAGAGTCTCATGATACAAAGCAAGTAATAAACAAGAAATGATAAGTTTAGGATTGACTTATTACACAATAGATCTATTGGGAATCGTTTACCACTGTACTTTCCAATGCATGTGTTCATAGAATGCAGTGAATCAAGGATGAAAGCATTGGCCATTAGTCAAAAGTTTTGTTAAGTGGGACTAAACAGACCTGAAGGCCGCATTTCATCGTACAGCCCCCATGCTCAGTTCATCTCTGCCCATCCACATTCCATCCATCCAGAGCACTAGTTATTATAGTTATAGTTCTACTTCTACAAACCAAAAAAATTAGACATTTTGAAGTTTGAACCCAAATTTCACGCGAACAGCTAATCACATGGTCCAGCAGGCACTAGCCATTACTAATCATCCTGACGTAAAGTTCTAATTTTCTATTGCTACGCTGCCTATTGCACCAATTGAAGAAAAGCTTGTCCAACACCGGTTGAGATGGTTTGGACATGTCCAACAGAGACCTCCAGAGGCACCGGTGCGTAGTGGAATCCTAAGCCAGGATAGTAACGTGAAGAGAGGCAGAGGAAGACCGAAGTTGACTTGGGTAGAGGCAATAAAAGGAGACTTGAAAGGATGGAATATACCCAAAGACTTAGCCTTAGATAAGAGTGCTTGGAAAACAGCTATTCACGTGCCTGAACCTTGATTGCTTCTGCTGGGTTTCAACTCTAGCCTACCCCAACTTGTTTGGGACTAAAAGGCTTTGTTGTTGTTGTACGCTGCCTATTGCACCAAATTGTGGCTCTGTTCTCAGATCCTCAACAGGACGAAATCAGAGTAAAGCAGAGGGCAGATAATTCATCAATTGTTATCGGAGGGAGTGGTTGAGGCTGCTGTGTGCTTTCAATGTTTATGATAAGAAGCTTTTCTACAGCGTCAATTTTCTCACAAAAGTCCATCTATATATGATGTTAGTGTTTTTTTCATAAGTAAACTTTGGTAGGATTCAAGAGTTTTATGAAACAAAGCAAGTAATAATAATAATAAACAAGAAAGGACCAAGTTAAATCCATGGAGAGTCATATATACCACCGAGGCAAGAAATGTGGCAGCAAAAGTGTTCACAGAATGACCATTAGTTAGGCAAAACAAAAGCCAAAAGTTTAGGTCAGGTGGGCTTAAAACCGGCCTGAAGGCAGAATTTCGTCATAGGAACAGCATGATGCTAACCTCACCACATCTCCCTTCATCCATCCATTACTCCGCCCACCAGACCACTGGTTATACTTTTATATAAACGCTATAAAAACTGGGCATCTCCAAACCCAAAATTTCACCCCGAACAGCAAATCACGTAGTCCTAGTCCACATGGCACTAGCCTAGAACCCAAAAAATGGAACTTGAATTCCTACTCATCCCGACCTAAAGTTACGATTTTTCTCGTACGCCACTGCTTACCGCACCGAATCTCTGCTCTAGCACCCGGAAATCAATCTTCTTCCCAGCCCGAAAATCCACTCCCCGAACACAACCGCACCCAGAAGCGCCGAGCCCCAATTCCCCAAACCACTCTCCCCATACACATGGAACCCCAATAAAAAGAACACCATGAATCCCACACCAAACTGCCCAACCGAAACACACCGAACCTCCCGGTCCCGGAGGCCACCGGATCCCATCGCGTCCCAGCGTACGGCCACGCCCTCTCCACCCGTCACCCGAGAGCTCCGGAGGAGAGAGGGGACTGGGGAGGAAGAAGTGATAGAGGAGGGAGAGAGAGCACGGATGACTCACCGTCCCATCGGTACGGCGCGGCGGGTGGAGCTCCCGCGGCTAGGGTTAGGGTTCCGGCGGGGTGGGGGAGGCGAAGCGGTCGAGCCGTAGTAGTGGAAGAAGACTCTCTTTTTTTCTGTGCGTGCAGGGAGAAATGGAAGGGAGAGAGAGAGATGCGAAGCCTTAGGCTGACCGCACCGCGCCTACGCCAAGCCAACCGGCAAAGCAGGATGGCCCACCGTCAGCACTCCTTTTACAGGCCAGGAACGTGCAGCACGCTGCCGTCGGAGGGCCTGTATACGGCCCCCCAAATCATGCCGCAGGCCGTCGCTGGTGCGGATACAGGCGTGGGGCCCGCCCCGAGAGCGGATACAGGCGCGGGCGGCGGGGCGGAACCTCTGTCTGTCCCGGTCTCCTGTAGCGAACGGAGATTTGGCGTACTCCATAGCGGCGCGCGGTGCAGCTCCTCCACCGCCATATTTGCAGGCGAGGTCCGTTCCCAGGTCCCGGGTGCGGATAGAGTTGGGGACGGCAGGCACGCACGCGTCACTCGTCAGCTGGCTCTACTCGCCTTTCCCTTCATCTTTACCAAAACAGCGCACGCAAGCACACACTCTCTCTCTCGATCGCTAAATCGTCTTTATATGCTTGCTTGCACTGCCAATTCAGTGATGATTTGCTACTCTTTTCATCCATCCGCCGGATCTTCACCGTTTTCGTTGACCTACACCCAAAGGAAATGCGTCATCTATGGAAATGTTCGATGGGCGGCAGCAGAGCGTCACGTGTAATAAAAGAGGCTTTTATCGACAGCCTGTTCGGCAGGCCGTAAACGATCGTGGATTATTTACTGTTGGCTGATTTGGTACGAGAGAAAAATATTATTCCAGCTTATAATCTATGATCGTATACGAGCAAACGAACAGGCTGCCATATCTCTGTATTCTTTACTACCGTGGGAGTAATACTAACGAACAATATTTTGTTCCATACCATATGTGTGTGCCTTTCAAAGATCCAATTCAATGGAATCAGTTATTCTATATACCATACCATCCTATATAAATGTGTGAAAAAAGTCCTATTTAGGATTATGATCTTGTATAAACCATTGGATGCGACCTTAGACATCATTTAGTAAATCGTTAAATGTGAAGATTTATATGGTAACAGAACATGTAATGCCCAGCCAAGGTGATTTTATGGATACATGATCCAATTGCTAATCGGATATGCATGCATTAAAAGCAGAAATCTAGGCTTTAAGAGTTCGTATCTTAACGCAAACATGAAAATTACCCCACCTGTGCCGATTTATAAAGCACGAGCATGTATCAAAAATTAAACTTTATACTAAGGGTCTGTTTGATTACTAACGGATTATTATAATCAGATTATGTATATGGTTACTATAATTATCATTATGGATTATACTAACCAGAGTGTTTTGCTCCTTTGATTATTGTGCTTGATTATGGTTGGTTAAAGTGAGAAATTCATGTCATGTGTTTTAGTTTGGCAAGTTAGACAATTGGTTAGGGCAAGTTGTGCTTTTATGTCGACAAAAGATACTCAGCAGTCCACCGAGGGGTATCCCGCGATGATAGATTTGTCGGTGGAGGTGCGCATAATCAGAAACCGGATGGTGACACAAGGCGAAGAGACAACGATTTAAACAGGTTCGGGCTGTCTGATCGACGTAATACCCTACGTCCTGTGTTTTTGGTGTATTGTATTGAATATGAGATATATCTAGATGTCGTCTAGGGGACCCCTGCCTCTCCTTATATTCTCTGGAGGGGTAGGGTTACAAGAAAAGTATCATATTTGGTACTATATAATATCTTGTGTTGCACGTCGACCAGTGTTGTTGAAAGCTCTAGTTTGGTTTTGGTGAATTGATAAAACCCTAAGTGCTAACCTAGTTTATCAAAGTGATCATGAGATAGGTAGCACATTCCAAGTGGTGAGCAAATGAAGATCATAACACGATGATGGTGATGCCATGGTGATGATAAGTGCCTGGACTTCAAAAGAAGAAAGAGAAAAACAAAAGGCTCAGGCAAAGGTATAAGTGGTAGGAGCCATTTTGTTTTGGTGATCAAGACACTTAGCGAGTGTGATCACATTTAAGATCGATAGTTGTACTATTAAGAGGGGTGAAACTCGTATCGAAATACGGTTATCAAAGTGCCACTAGCACTACGGGATACAGTAGTTTTACCGAGTGCCAGGGGCACTCGGCAAAGGCCCAAAAACTCTCGGCAACTGCTTTACCGAGTGTAACACTCGGTATACAACACACGGCATCTGTGTGTCGGCAAACAGTAGTTTGTCAAGTGTTTTTTATCGCGCACTCGACAAATAGTTTGCCGGGTGTCAATAAACACTCGGCAAAAATAAACTCTCGACAAAAAAATGTTAACGGGATGGCACAGTGACGGTGATTTTGCCAAGTGTACGACGGAAAAATACTCGGCAAAGTTTGTAAACTTTGCCGAGTGTCAATTCGAAAACACTCGGTAACGTTTATAAAGTTTGCCGAGTGTCAAGACCAAAACACTCGGTAACGTTTCTAAAGTTTGCCGAGTGTCAAGATCAAAGCACTCGGCAAACAAGCGCGCAACGGGCCGATTTTATAGTCACTTTGCCGAGTGTCCATTAGAATACACCCGGTAAAGACAAAACACTCAGCAAAAAAGGTTCCCAGAATAACAGAAATTGGTCTCTTCGCTGAGTGTTTTGGCTTGACACTCGGTAACGCCTCGCTTTGCCGAGTGTTACACTCGGCAAAACGACCAATACCCCTTTTTTACTAATCTGTCCCGTATGACGGACCCCTCTCAATTCATAATAAACCATCA